CTTCATGGCCACACTCAAGGGGCCAAAGAGCCGCATGTGGTTCGCGAGCCGCAGTTTGCCGACCACTGGTCTAGAATGTCCACGTAGACCCAGGTCACGCTGCGGTGGCCGTGACTGCTGGCGGGGACGGAGCCCTGGGCCCTGCAGTGTGCTGATCCTGTGACGTTGATCCTGTGTGATGCTGTGACTCCTCCCTTTCCAGCGTGGCGCCTCTTGTCCAGATGGGTGAGACGGATGCAGACGTGGCCAAGTTCTTAAACAGGTACTTACATGGAAATTGGGGATCTCTCAAAAACGCGACATGATGGGAAGTAGCAACAACGGACAGGCTCACTCATTCACTTCATATTCAGTGAGGGCGTGCTGTGCCCGGCACTGAGCCGGGCACGGGGATGCAGCAGAGAACAAGGCGGTACCATCCCTGTCCCAGTGAGGTGAAGGTCTTGTGGGGAGAAGCTGCTGTAACAACCAGCGAAGAAGAACATCGGGACAAATGGACAGTGCTGTGACAAGGGGCCTGCTTTGAGGCTGGTAACCAGGGAGACAGTGACAGGCATCATGGTGGGGCCCAGGCAGGAGAGAGACCTTCTCACAGCCGGTCTTCCCCCGGCGAGGCCCCTGGGCAGTGTGAGTGGAGGACACAGCCAGGCAAAGCGAGCTCAGGATCGTCCGGCTTAGGGCCCCAGCACAGGGCCCGAATCGCTGGCTGGGCCAGGGAGGTCCCCTGTAGCCCCACCCTCAGCCTTGCTGCCAGGGCCACAGCTGGCCCAAGGCCTTCTCCACTGGGTTCTGCTCCAGCATTGGCTCATGCAGTTCTAGTGGGGGCAAGGCCAGGTCCAGGGGCAGGCAAGAGCTGGGGACCCCTGGGAGCCGTTCTGCGTGTCCAGAAAGTGGCCTTAGCCAGGATCTGGAGTGGCCCCTTATTGTGGCCCACACCTCCCACAGGGACAAGGCCCAGGCTTTGATGGGTTCTGACCAACTCGTTTCCCCCTGTGAGGGGAGAGGAATGTTGCATTCATGGGCACAGCAGCGACTCCTTGGGGGCGCTCTTGCACTGGAAAGGGACCAGGAATGAGGGGGGTCTGCCCTGGCACGGCCTGGAATGTGTGGGTTCTTTGTGCAGGTCCTCAGACCAGCAGTGTCTGCGTCACCTGGCGTGGGTTAGACCTGCAGAACCCCAGGCCTGGCCAGCTCCCCCAAATGAGAATCTGCAGGTTGCCAGGATCCCCAAGGACTCGTGTGCATGTTAGTTTGAGAGGCACTAGTCCTGGTCACTGGACAGTGCAGAAAGCAGTTGAGAGTGGCCCAAAGTCACCAGCCTCTGAGGTTGGGCAGGGGTAGCGGCCTTGTCCTGTAGGAACCCCCCAGCCCTGGCGCCAGAGTCGGGCGCGTGGCTCTCCCAGTGCCATCCGTCAGGCCCAGGTTGGCCGCTGCTCTTCATCCCACCCGGTGCTGCCGGGGCACGTGACTGATTTCCTTCTTGAAGGCTAATACGGGAAGGACCCAGTTAGCATCGATTGCCCCTTTCAGATCATTCCGTCTGCTTCTCTCTGTCCCTCCAGACTCAGCGACTATCTCTTCACGCTAGCCAGGTACGCAGCCATGAAGGAGGTTCTGCTCCAGCATTGGCTCATGCAGTTCTAGTGGGGGCAAGGCCAGGTCCAGGGGCAGGCAAGAGCTGGGGACCCCTGGGAGCCGTTCTGCGTGTCCAGAAAGTGGCCTTAGCCAGGATCTGGAGTGGCCCCTTGTTGTGGCCCACCCCTCCCACAGTGACAAGGCCCAGGCTTTGATGGGTTCTGACCAACTCGTTTCCCCCTGTGAGGGGAGAGGAATGTTGCATTCATGGGCACAGCAGCGACTCCTTGGGGGCGCTCTTGTCCCTGGAAAGGGACCAGGAATGAGGGGTGTCTGCCCTGGCACGGCCTAGAATGTGTGGGTTCTTCGTGCAGGTCCTCAGACCAGCAGTGTCTGCGTCACCTGGCGTGGGTTAGACCTGCAGAACCCCAGGCCTGGCCAGCTCCCCCAAATGAGAATCTGCAGGTTGCCAGGATCCCCAAGGACTCGTGTGCATGTTAGTTTGAGAGGCACTAGTCCTGGTCACTGGACAGTGCAGAAAGCAGTTGAGAGTGGCCCAAAGTCACCAGCCTCTGAGGTTGGGCAGGGGTAGCGGCCTTGTCCTGTAGGAACCCCCCAGCCCTGGCGCCAGAGTCGGGCGCGTGGCTCTCCCAGTGCCACCCGTCAGGCCCAGGTTGGCCGCTGCTCTTCGTCCCACCCGGTGCTGCAGGGCACGTGACTGATTTCCTTCTTGAAGGCTAATACAGGAAGGACCCAGTTAGCATCGATTGCCCCTTTCAGATCATTCCGTCTGCTTCTCTCTGTCCCTCCAGACTCAGCGACTATCTCTTCACGCTAGCCAGGTACGCAGCCATGAAGGAGGGGAATCAAGAGAAAATATACAAGAAAAGTGACCCCTCGGACTGAACCCGAGGCGCTTGGGAACAATGGAAAGGGGAGCCTTGTGGACCCTCCGGGGTGGCCACCAGGGAAGAGGAGTTTTCCTTGTCCTGGTTCCTGAAGGCCTCGCCCCAGGGCTGGACCAGGGTCCTTTGTCCACGCTCAGCTGCCTCCAGACCCCCTGCCACTTCCCTCAAGGGCAGCGGCTGCTGGAGAAATCTGCCCGCCATGCTCTCCTTGGTCTTCTCGGGACTGGGTTCACCTGCAGAAAGGAAGGCGAAGTGATTGCTGTAATGAGAAGGACGCACAGAAAGAATAAAAGTGGGAAAGGCTTGAACCGAGTGTGTGTGAGAGAGAGGGAGGGAGCGAGCGAGCGTGAGAGCCCTTCCACGCCAACTCCGTCAACTCCTTGCGTCCAAGGACAGGGAGCGGCCCCAGAGGCCCCTGGGGTGTCCCTGACTTACCTGTGCCCATTTGTAAAGGGGAGGCAGACAGGTGGAAGCGGAGTCGCCGGGAGCCACCCGGCACCGCCTCCATCGGGGGAAGGGCCGCTGCAGAGTGACAGGTGAGGCCTGGGAACCACTCACCGTGGGCCCACGTGTGCATGGCGGGGTGCAGCCTGCAGAATGCTCTCACAGGGGACCCTTCCCCCATCCAGGGGCGAAGACTGGCGAGAGGAACGCCACCGCTTAAAGGAAGGCAGTCCTGCCCAGCAGATGGTGTCAAGGGCTGAGGGGACATTCTCAGCTCAAGACAGTAAGGCCTTCCGCTTCCAGTGAGGCCGGCACAGACGGATGTAGCCCCGATGCTGCGCTTGGCTGGTGTATGCTCAGATCCAGGCGTGGCCGTGCTTTATTCCACCTGTCACCGCCGCTCCCTCCTGCCGTGAAACGAGGCCGCCAGCGCCAGCTGTGTCCTTGGGAAGGGGATGTGATGGGGGCGGGAGGCAGCCTGGGCCCTGCAGATTCCACGCTGCTAACGGCAGGAAATGACTTGAGAGGGCAGGCTCGCTGTCGGCTGAGGTGCCTGTGAACTCCATCCAGGGGTCACTCGGGCTGAGCGCCTGCTTAGCCTGAGGCACCAGGAGGCTCGAGGCTGGGAGGCTGGTCACAGCCGGCGTGTCCACCAGCATCCAAACCGTCTTTGCTTTCGTTCCTACCACCTCACTGGGAATTTTGCTGGAGGAACAGGCACAAGTTGTCCCTCCTGAGTCCTTTGTTCCCAGCAGGCTTCAGGGGCCCCGTAAGGCCGGGCAGAGCTGCTGAGGTGCCAGTGACCGAGAGTGACCGTGAACGGCCTGGTTCCCCCCGGGCCAGGGCGAGCGCCGGGCTGGTGCACGGCGGGCTCAGTGTTGGTGAGCAGCTGGAGCAGTGGAAGCAGCAGCCTTTCCGGAGGGCGGGGCCGAGCTGCACTGGGGCTGCGCCCGGGGGGTTTTGCTCCAAGAGCTGCAGCAACCGGCTCCATGCACTCAGTCTGCGGCTCCTCAAGATCTCCCCGGGAGGAGCAGGACACGGAGCAAAACAACAGTCCCGGCCCCGCTCCTAGCCACGGTGAACGCCCACGGAGGACGAGAGAAGCTCTTGAGGAAATGCAGCCGCCTAATGGGAAGCTCTTGGGAACAAGGCATGTGCCTGTCCCAAATCCCACCCCCCAGCCCTTGCTGGGAGGGACTGTCACAGGCCAGATGTAACCCAGGTTCCCAGGCCCCCTCTGCAGCTGCCCCCCCCCAGCAAACATTCCCTGAGAGACAGCCCGGGCGCAGGGCAGACTTGGCATCTTGAGGGTGTGCCCTGTGCCACCAACCTGGGAAAACAGGAATCTGCTTTCCTCCTCTGCAGCGCCCGACGCTGCCACCCTGGAGCCCGGGGCCAGAGGCAAAGTGTGCACCCCATGCCCGCTTGTCAAGGTAGCCCCTTGTCTAGAACCCAGTCGGACAAGTTTGCAAGCTCCACAGATGAAACACACGCCCCTCCCTCTCTAAAGCCCCAGTCGCCCGCCTGCACCACTGTCAGCCCTCACGCATGACTCCCAGCGCCCAGTCAGGCAGGGTGGGAGAGGAATGCAGGCTTTACTTAAAGCTGGTGCCTTGTGGATCAGGGGTTCTTGTTTTTGCATAATTGTGATTTTTAAAAGACTGTTTGAAAAAAATAAAGAACGAAATAAGTAAAAAGACTTTGAAAATATTACCTCGATTACTGGAGTTTTGGGCACTCCCATACATTCTGCACCCAAGAAAGTGCCTCGCCGGCTCACCCAGCTCAGGTCAGCTCTTGGGACGCCAGCGATGAGCTGGTGGTTGGGCGTCCCCTCGGGCGAACCCGCCATATTGATGGTGCCGGCCACTGCATGCCCGGCCCCGAGCTCCACAGACTTCCTCTCCTCACACCCCCAGCTCCACAGACTTCCTCTCTGGGCACTCCCATACATTCTGCACCCAAGAAAGTGCCTCGCCGGCTCACCCAGCTCAGGTCAGCTCTTGGGACGCCAGAGATGAGCTGGTGGTTGGGCGTCCCCTCGGGCGAACCCGCCATATTGATGGTGCCGGCCACTGCATGCCTGGCCCCGAGCTCCACAGACTTCCTCTCCTCGCACCCCCAGCTCCACAGACTTCCTCTCCTCATGCCCTCAGCACCCCCAGCTCCACAGACTTCCTCTCCTCACGCCCACAGCACCCCCAGCTCCACAGACTTCCTTTCCCTCACACCCCTCAGCACCCCCATCTCCACAGACTTCCTCTCCACACACCTCTCAGCACCCCCATCTCCACAGACTTCCTCTCCTCACGCCCACAGCACCCCCATCTCCACAGACTTCCTGCCCTCACACTCACAGCACCCCCATCTCCACAGACTTCCTCTCCCTCATGCCCACAGCACCCCCAGCTCCACAGACTTCCTGTCCTCACACCCCACGCACCCCAGAGGGAGCAGTGTGTGCTCTGCTTTGCAGGTGAGGAAAGATGCTCACAGGAACCCAGTTGTCTCAGGGAGTCGGCACCAAAATGCGGGCCCGGGAAGTGGCCTGTGACCCCAGCCCCGTGCTCCTGTCCGCCCAGCCACCGCTTGACAGTCACTTCATCACGGCCTGGGCCGCGAGAGCAGTGTCAGGCACTAGTGGGTTCTGCTGCCTCGTTTCTCAGCCTGCTTCCCCTTCACTGATATTTCATGGCCATTGTTAATGCGCATTTTTCACCGAGTGATTTTCGCAGCCCGAACTTGTAACTCGTCCCAATGACAAACGTCCCCGGTTCTGAGCCCCCTCGGCCGCAGTGTCACCCTCGCCTCCTCCCCACACCCTTCCCGACAGCCCATCCAGTGTCTGGTCGCTTGGTCCCAGTTTTCACGACTGAACCTTTAAGAATCCAGGTGCATTTCAGTTGAATTGAATGCAATTTTTTGTGTAATAAATTCTGCATGGATGCTCCATAAGTCAGTGCCTGGGGGTGTGGCCCACCCCTCCCTTCAGACCAGGCCTGGGCATCTCCCCGGCAATGCGGGCCGGCGGGTCTGATCCTCTCCATCGAGGGGCCAGACCCACCTCTGCAGCCCAGCGGTTGGCTGTCCTCCGCCTGGGCCTGTTGCTTTTCTTCTCCGGGAGCCCCTCACGGAAGGCGGTGCTGGAGCCCAGGCAGAGGCAGGGAACGGGCAGGTTGGGGCGCCCAGGAACCTTGGGGATGTCCCGAGACGGCAGGAGATCTCATGTACTCAGAAGGATGCACAATTTAAAATTTATGAATTATACCTGGAATTTTCCATTTAATATTTTTGGACCATGGTTGACCATGGGTAACTGAAGCCATGGAAAGCAAAACCGAGATGGGGGGCGGGGGCTGTTGTAATATCTACCCGACAGGACCACTGGGGAGTTTAATGAGGCGATACTCCCTCATGGGGAGTTTAAAAGGACTTAGCACCTCCCCTCCCCCCGGCATATGTGAGCTGCTATTATTATTATCAGTATTACTATTGGAATTCAAGTTCTGGCCTGCCACTTCTTACTGAGTCACCTTGAGTGAGCTGTTCAACCACTCTGAGCCCCAATCCTCACCTTTTGTAATGGGATGATTCCAGCTTCCAAGGGTTCCGGGAATAAGTCCATAGGCCTGGCACAGGTAGCAGCTAAAAAAAAAAAAGAAAAGTAGCTATTGGTGTTGAATCACATGTTATCCTTTCCAAAGCACTTTCCAACAGCTCAGGCCGGCGAAGCCCGGAGCACGCTGAGCAGCGTCTCGGTGCGGTTAGACTTGCTGAGGGCAGGGAGACAGGTGGCCTCCAGGGGGTCTGGTCCCCGTCAGACGGGACTGGCTCTGGAAACACCATCCCAAAGTGAAGGGAGAGGTGATGTCACAGAGCAATGACAGCCGAAAGCGGTTTCAGAGATCATTGCCCCATTTTACAGATGAGGGAACTGAGGCCCAGAGAGGAGAATTTAGTAAGTATGTGTTAATAATGGCCACAATTTGACCACTGCGTGTGTCCAGGCATGTTGCTAGGCAGCTTACACGCAATAGTAGTTCATTTTACTCGTTCAAAAACCCAGGACGGTGGTACTATTACTATCATCCCTAACTTACAGATGAGGAAACTGAGGCCCAGAGAAGATAAATGACTTTCTCAAGGTCACACATCGCTAGGAGGTGGAGCGAGGTTTTAAATCGGGCTCTACTCCTCCAAACCCCACGACTAGCATTTACTCAACACTTAGCTACAAGCTCAGCTGTACCCCTTGGCTGGGTTTTTGTGTCTTCTTAGTTCTCAGAACCCTATGCAGTATGTGTGGCTACTCTCCCCATTTCACAGGGGAAGAAACAGGTTCAGAGGGGTGGAGCCACTTGCTCAGAATCACGCAGTGCCCTCTGGGAGGAGGAAGAGGATGATGCTTATAATAATGAGCTGGCAGGTATTGAACTCTTCTATGTGCAGAGCTCTTTAAACCGTATCACCATGGCAACCCGAGGGCAACCTCCATGTGCACTTAGCATTGATCCTATAGCAGCCCCATCCGGTGGATATTAGAATCTTTGTTTCAGATGCAGAAACGGATGTTCAGGGAGATGGCACCTTGGCCAGTGTCACACAGCAAGTAAGAGGCCAAACTAGGATTTGAGCTTGGATCTGTCTTAGCTCCACAGTGAGGCGGACAGCTCGAGGCCTCCCCGTGGGCAGCAGCAGAGCCAGGACAAGGACCCCATCCTCAGATGGGGGGCATCTTGGGACAGTGGTGATGAGGGCATGACAGACAATTAGCTGGGGCAGGGGAGGAGAGAGTGCCATGAACTGCTAGCGGCCTCTCGGGGAAGTGGGGGAAGCTGCACCAGTTGGGGGACACAGGGTGAAGGCAGCCTGGGGAACTGATTCAATGGCAGAAAGGCGTCCAGCTGACCCAGGACCTGGGGGTGGCTGGGGCCTCCCCCCCGCCCCCCCCCACACACACCGAACGCTCTCGAGGCCCGAATCCTCGGCGAGCAGGTGCCTTTATTACGATCACCTTGGAAGGTCGAGCAGACATCCGAGACATATGTTGCTAAGGGTCGTTTGTTCTTGTTTATAAAATTTATGGCTTCACCTCGATTACACGCTGTCAGAACGGGAAGGATTGGCCCCAAAGTCTCTTGCCGCATGACTGCCTCAGACGTGCGTGCATCTGTTCCCTCCGTAGGAGCTGTAGAGGGAAATGAGGCTGACGATAACTCACAAGCTCGCTGCCCGTCACAGGTGTGGGCGCCAGGCCTGGAGAACAGGAGCCTAGTGGGAACGGAGGTCAGGGCCGGCCGTGGCCACGCCGGGTGGCATCGGTGTCCTGCCCCCGCCTGCAGATGGCCTGCCAGGGGCCTTCGGGCCGGGGAGGGGGAGAGGAGGGCTTGATTCTGATGGCCCCGGGGTCCCGCACAGGACCAGGCTGCTGGAGGGAGTGCCCAGCCCGCGCGCACCACTGTGGGGGCCTGGACATAGGTATGACTTTCAGGAGGGCAGCTTGGCAACGCCGCGGACAGAAGTCCTAGAAATGTGCACCCAGGGCCCGAGTTCCATGGCTGAGCATGTCTCGGAGGAAGTAGGCAGCGAGGTCGGGGAGCCTTGGGGATTTTATTTTATTTTTTCGGTTCAGTGCTGCTCATTGCAGTGAATACTTGGAAGCTAACGCCCCACAGCAGGGAGCTAATTATTCAGTATTTGAAATATTTAACAATAAGGGATTATACGAAATGTCATAAAGCTATTAAAATGATGGTGCGCATAGATCTATTACTATGGAAAATGGGTCACAATCTACGAAGTGAAAAGACAAACACCAAGTTATAAAATGGTACACATTGGATCCAAATCCTACAAAACAATGTACGTGTGTGTGTGTGTGTGTGTGTGTGTGTGTACACCACAGGAAAGACGCAGCAGCTCTTCTGTGTGTTAATAATGTCTCTGAGTCAGGGGGTTCGGGGTGTTTTAGCTTTCATTTTGTTTGGATTTTCCTTTTTGTGTGTGTGTGTTTTCTTAACAACGAGTTTGGGCTGGATTGACAAAGGCTCACATACGTAATAAACACGCACGACACAGAAAAGGACCTGGCGGGCTGGCGGTGCCCTGGCGTCCCCGGGGCTGTCTCTTGCTTCAATCGTGTTTGGACAGACCAGATCCCGGCTCCCCTTCTTCCAGCCTCCGACAACCTCCAACCTCTTCCCGTCAGCACCTTCGGAACCACCTCCGCCCTCCTCAGCTACGAGACCAGCCAACGCTGTTTTTGTTTTGTTTTGTTTTGTTTTGTTTTTACCTTAATTCCTTATTGCGGAACAACCAGGAGCTCCCAGGCTCATCAGAATTATGCCTCCCAGATGGCGGCCCGGTGCACCGCCCGGCCAGCCTGCCTCCGTGGCCTCCGCACCTGCCTCGCTCTGGGCTTCTACCTGGACCTCGGTGATGTGGCTCCCCCCCAAGATGAGCGGTGGACACTCAGGACGCCGTGGAAGCCGCCCTGGCCCTGGCCTTAGAGAGGAACCTGAACAGGTCCTGTTGGAGCTGCCGCCCTGGGCTCCACGCAGACCCTCAGCTCTGAGATCTCCTGCAGACCCGCTTCCGGGGAGAGGAGGCGACACCATCAAGATGGGCCGCACCAGACTCACTGCAGGCGGGGCCTTTGGGGCCTGGCTCAGTGGC